AGAATTTGGACAAGATCATCAATGGTATTTCAACTTTTATTTAACCTCAAAAACATGACCCAAGGGATAGGAAGGAGAAAGAGTGTGTGTGAGCCCAAGAGGGTAAGAGTGAGCAGATCATAATAAGGCATTAGCAAACAGAATAAACCCATGCAACAGAAATACACCAGACATGGGAATTCTTGCTGTGGTATTTTGTTTAAAAGAAACTGGGATCCCTACCTGGCTTTTTGGTTAAGATCAAGTTAAGATACAGTTTGATCTGCACTCGGTTAAGGATGTTGATCACAATGAAATGGTCCCAAGATCCTTACAGCAATACAATAATAATCCTTGCATCTAATGCAGCATCTTAGCAAGTTATCGAGATATCCCAAAGAGCTGTATTTTACAACAGATTGTTGAGTGATTTTGACTCCACTTGGGAAGACTGGTTAAGATGCTGTACTAGATGTTTGGAGAAATCTTGCAATTGGATTAATTCATAATGGGTGGGGGGGTGAAGAAGAGAGAGGAATAAACATTTGGGTGAAGAGAGAGGCAAATCTCCAAGCGATTTTGTCCTCCTGTGCAAGGAACTTACAGAGCTGGGATGAACTGGCTTCTGAATTAAAACTGAATTTAAGAATTTCTGACTATTGAAATATTAATTATTAAATACAATGAGTCAAGGCAAAGACCACGAGCGCTGTGTGTGGCTGGGTTGAGTTTCCATTCCAAGCACTGCAAAGCTGCCTCATCCTGTTGTGTGTGGCTGGTGCTGAGCAACCCGAACAGGCAATAATTATCCTTACATTTTATTACAGCACCGTTCACATCAGGAGTTCATCAGGATACTGCAAAGTGCAGTGACTGAATGCCTTTGGTAGGCAGCCTATTTACACACAGCAATGTCCCACAAAGAGCACGAAACGAGTGACTGCCTTTTATTTGGGGAGGGGATTGTTGGCCAGGACACCAGAAGAAACTCCTCACTCTAATGGCCTTCACCACACACAAAAATTAACAACTGCACCACTCAGTTTGGCTTTTATTATAGGTAGAATTTAATTTGGACTGGCAGCATTCTCCCACTGCCACAGTACAGTACTCGCACTAACAATAAAAAAACACACATTATATATATTAAAAAAGTACTACAAGTAAAAATCAACAAACTTAATGGCTTCTACATAGTGTAGAACTGTCTGCAATAAATTCAAAAGAAAAAGCAGTTTCACCGACAAGTACAAAACAAAAAGAATATACTTTTTTTGCAAGTTGAACCATGTGTATCAAGGCTCCAGATTTCACACAATCTAGCAGAAAGCAGCTCATTCCCAGTTTCAGCAAAAAGTAAAATAATTGTCACGAAAATAACTCGAGGCACTTTAAAAAGTTTCGAGATAGCTTTCACTGGTCCACGTGCATCACTTTTTTTCAAATATAAATATATTTATTCTGTGAAGTGCTTTAAGACACCTCGAAGATGTGATAAGACTCTACATCAAATGCAAGGATTATTATCTTAAAACAAAATACCTCCAAGGATCAGATAGGTGACTTTCCCGGCAAGGCAGTGTGAAAGCAGTGAGTGCAGGCTGTATCTGTAGGTATTCTGAAGGCTTGTGTGGGAAGGGGTGAATTCTCTGAGTGTCAGTGAACTTTGGAACTACTTGCCTGTTGGAGAATTAGACCAGTTCCGTTCACTTCACTTCATTTCAGACGCATGTACAACAAACAGCCTTTGGCTTGCCAGGTTGCAGGGAAAGTGGTAAAGAATCACTGACAATAATCCCCGCATTTGATACAGCCCCTTTCACATAAGGAGAACCTGTCAATGTGCTTTGCAGGTTTCACTGTTAAAGTGACTGTGTGTTTTGTAGGCGAACATAGCAGCCAATTTGCACACCGCAAAGTCCCAAAACCAGAAATGAAGTGAATGACCAATTTTACTTGGCAGGATTGTTTGCTAGGACACAGGAAAAACCTCCCTTCTTCAATGCACTGGGGTGAAATACATGACATTTCATACTGCTTTTATCATGAAGGAATAACTTACGATTTCACCCTACTTCCCCCTCACCCCAAACTTTTTTCCAGAGTTAATTTCGTGAAATTACAATTTGTTCCTCGTCCCCCACAACAACAGCAAAAAAGACTACATTTGGAACTACATTCTGTTTTTTTTGTTTTTTAAAAAAAAAGAAAACATTTTGTTGTCCATGTTGGCAACTGCTCTCGAATGAAAATGCACTTTGCAGTGTAATGGTCTGGATACGAATACAAGTTCAAACTTTTATTTCACAGAAATAAATCACTTTTTTTTCTTGGGAGATGCGGTACTTCTTGCAGCAAAGATTCATTGACACGGAACAAAGGAGCACCTTTTCTGGCAACAGTAGTTCGATTTTTTTAAAAATGACATTTCAGTAGGAGCTTCTGTTTTTTCTTGCCAGAAAGGTGTACGTACCTTGTAACAAAACACAGCCTGCGTGTGTACCACCACAGCTTCCAATGACTCCCCGCTGCCCTCTCTGTTCCACACAAGCATTTACAAGGCTAGTTGTGCTCTGTCGAGACATTGTGGTGTTTTTTTTTGCATCGGATTTGCTCCTTTCTTTGGTCTTTCCAAACCAAGCCCCATTAACCAGCTATTTCTGCAGAGCCAACTCTTCACTGAAGAGAACGACAATTATTCAGTTTTGAAGAGCACCAAGGAAAAATAGGCACACTAGAACCAGCAGCTTTGAACGCACAAGATCAGGAAGAAGAAAAAAAAAGGCATTAAAAATATTTTTTTCTGCTGAGAAGCGTAGGTCACTGCGATGGCAGAGCTGCAGTGACGAGTGAAATAACCAGACGGACCTTGGGACAGACTGGTCTGTTGGAACACAGCAGGGCTCTGAGCGCTTTTCCACCAATGCGTCATTTTTGCCTGGCGATCTTGGGTGCAAAGTATTTCATTCACATATCAACAAAGCACACACACATATATATATATAAAAACCTCTCCCACTACATAGACTCTAAATTCTACCAAAATATACAAACTTAAACTGACTACAGTACATGCCGAGGTAAGACAACAGAAAAAGTACATTCATGTAGAGATCCAACTCGTACCAAAGGTTTTTAATGTGAGATTTGTGTTATTATGATGTGAGAAATATTCAAAGGGGCATTGTACATGGCATATTATTCACTTTCCCTTTACAGGGGGGGGTGTGGGGTGGGGTGGTGGGGCTTGGATCACATTGAAACAGATGCTTTTCTCAACCAATGCCACACCTTCCACTAGGAATCTGATCCAGAGGCTCATCATCATCTCCAATGACAGTCCTGGCTGGGATTAAGCGAAACTTGTATGGGGAGACCTCTCGAGCTCCAACATTAGAGCCTTTTTTTTAAGAGAAAAAACAATCGAGTCTTACCTGAAGAACCCCCAACATATAAATAATGAAGATAGTACCATTTAAAACATTTCCAACACAAAGATCAGGTTTTCAGCAATATCAGCACATTCCCTTCCTGTTCCTACTCCCTCTCCCCCAGCAGTAAAACACAGGACGGTAATGCTTTTTTTAAAAAAAAACGTAGCGTTGTGTCAGCCCAATTATAAAATATCCTCCATGTGTGAGTAAGGCATTCCAAGTGATCCAATTCAGCTGCAAATATACATGTGGGGGTGAACTCTGACCACCAAGGTGCTGAATCAGGGCGATTTACACTCGAATTGGAGCTGGAGTGGTCCAGCGCGGCGCTGGCTGGCCCCAGCGTTAGATAATGGATTTCCTGAAGATTTAACGCGCAGCTGTCAAAGAGCTCTGTTCGGGGAATAGCCGGTCTGAGCCACTAAAACTTCGCTGGCACCACCCTGCAAATGCTCTGACCGACACACACAGGGAAGCGCTCACAATGCACGCATCGCATCCGCTCTGCTCGAGGGAGAAAACCCATTTCACGGTCCTGTCTGTCTGAAAGCAGACAATTCACAGCCCTTTACTTCAAGGTTCATTAAGTGAACCCTCCCCAATCCCACCCCCACCGCCCCCACTTCCTTCCTACAGTCCGAAATTTCTGTTGACTATTGCCTTAAGAGCATTGTCTGAAAAGTTAATGTTGTTAGGAAGGTTCTTAAAGTCTTTGGCTTCAAGTTGGAAGCCGGATTTTATGGTAGATTTGAAGAATACATTTTAAGATAATGGTCTTAATGCTAACACAGCAAGAAATTTCAGGCCTCTGAGTGGTATGGAAAGAAGTTAGAGCTACGATGGGCCTGTGTGCGTGGGTGTGTGGGGAGGAATCCCAGACAGCATTAGGTGCATCGCCTTTGGCAATGTTGACCAGTAATAATGTTTCCCACCGTTATAACCTCACCTCCTCAAAGTCTGTATATGCGTCCTGGAACTTTCAACCCACCCAAAACCTAATTAAGTCCGATGCTTTGTAAGAAGGTTTAAAGGCGAATCCCAAGCTAATTTTCTGGATCAATGCTAACCACTGGATATCACACAACGGTGCTGTGGAAAGATGACCACGAGAAGTAGTTACGAAACGCATTGGAGGTTTGGATCTGAGTCAGATTCAACACTGACTGTTATTATTATTTTCTTCATTTGATACAGTGCCTCATCACGTCATTGAGGCGTCTCAAAACGCTTCGCAGGAGAGGTATACTGTAAAGTGAATCGAATGTGTATTTTGTGGGTGAAATGCTTCTCAACTCAATTGAAACCGTTCTCGACTCGTTCCCCTCCCCCGGGGACCAGCAGACATTAAAACACTAACTAGCAGGAGTCGCTCTCTGCATCGCAGGCGCATGCTTGGAAGGCAACGATTCCACGAAGTCTCCTCCACGTTCCGCGCGTGGCAGACAGTGAGACGACCGTCAGAACGTAACACCATATTATGTTGGACGCGCCTTTCCTTTGCCGCGCAGTCAAGTGGGCTTAAAACTCTCTTGTCTCTTCTCCTCACCCCCTTCCACCACCCTCCCACCAAACACCCCCCATTATCTCTCCCACTCCCCACCACACTAGAGTGAATTGGGATGGTGGGGTGGGTGGGGAAACTCGTCTCCATTCAGCCAGTGTCTGCCACCGTCGTGGCCTGGGGGAGGCTTTGTGGTACCTGGTACGTTAGTTGCTCCTCAGTCACCGAAGCTACTGTTCCTTTGGGTGTGTCATACTGTGCCTGGCCAGGAGGGGCTGGCTCGATGGTGGGCGACGCTGGGCTCGGGCTCACCACAGAGACCCCTGCGGACTTAAAACTGGAGGCCACAACGGGCCCCAAGCCTCCCGAAGGGTAACCCGCGATTTCCATGACAATGGGAGTGGCGTACTCGGGGCTGGAGACCGGCAAGGGCTCGGCGTACGCGTGGTAGATTTCTGTGCCGGGGGCATCGTAGCGGCAGTCCCCATCCGGGTCGGTGTAGCCGGCTTCGGGGTCTTCCTCCGGCTTGAAAGTGGATCTCTGTCTCAGCGTGCCCACCACTCTGGCTACTAAAGGCTGAGCGTACTCTGTGGGCACAGGAAGGAAGAGCTCGTGCTTGTTTACAGGGACTCACCCCGGACATTCGCGGCGCTTCAGTTGCTCAACAGCGTCAAATTGGAGAAGCGCCTCGGAGCAAGGGTCGGAGCAAGGGATAAAGGGGGAGGGGTTTGAGGAGACCATAGGCACAGGCAGAGAGGTAGATTGTAAAATGGGATTTTAAGACAGGCGGAAAGGCAGAAGCAGGCAGAAGCAATGATCTGAAAGGCGCTACACAAATGCAATTTGTTGTTGTTGATATCTCAAATGCAATTATTATTATTGATGATAATATTGTTATTAATAATATTAATTTGAATGAGCCTTTAGAAAGGGGGTTAGAAACGCCTACCAAAATTTGAAATGAAGAATTCAGTCCACGATTCTGTGGAATCTAAAATTTTAAGACAAAACTGTCTCACAGGCCAAGGCTGGGTGGCATTTCAGGCCAACAAAGGGTCAGGGCACAAACATCAAAAGTAGAGAGGGCAAGAAGCACCATTTTAAGAGCACTGTTGTGACAATCCCCAAAAATTCAGATGTTCGGAGTTAAAAAAATATACTGCCGCATTATAAGTTAAACAGCGTCAGATTTCCCCCAGATTAAAGCTAGCAGTGGAACAACAGAGAAAACCGAAGAGAGTCAGCTAGTGGGCTCTAAGCAAACTCGAGTAGGACAGCCTGGATGTGAGAGGGTACATTGTATATATTAATAATCGTTGCATTTGATATAGTATCTTATCACGGCGTCGAATGTCTCAAAGCTCTTCACAGAATATACTGTGAATCGACTGTATATTTTGTGGGGGAAACACGGCAGCCAAATGCGCACAGCAGTGTCCCACCAACAATCGTGGATTGAGTGACCAATCCCTTCGTTTTTGAAGGGATTATTACCCCTGGAAAGCGATCTGCTAATTGACGAACAACTGGGTTCCTACTTGCTGCTAAATAAACAAAAACGCCTTTTGGAAACCTAGAAAGAAACCAAAGAAAAAAGGAAGCCAGTGTCTGAGCGAATGATGCCAAATCAGTTTGCAGCTCTGATTGCAGCCCAGACCCCAGCGTGTTACACTCACGGCAGCGCTGGTTCTTAAGAGTTCCAAGCTGTACAACACCAAATTACACTTGTAAAGCGCCTTTCCCATCAGGAGGACGTCCCAAGGCGCTGGACAGTCAAGGATCCGCACCCGAGCTAGTGGTTGGGATCAGGAGGGGTGGAGTGTAGGGGTAGGAGCGTGACTGAAGGCACGGTCGAAGAGAGAGTCTTGAGATGGGTCTTGAAGGAGGCAAGGGAGGGGGGGGTGGGGCGAGGGACTGTGGGATGGAGTTCCAGAGGGTGGAGGCAGAGAGGCTGAAGGCCACCCGGTCAATGGTGGGGCTGGCAAGGTGAAAGACGTGAAACAGGCCGGAGCCTGCTGAGCGGAAGGAACAGACAGGTTGGGTAGAGTCTTAGGAGGTAATGGAGGTAGGGATGAGCAAGGCTGTGGGCCTTAAAGGTATAACCCACAGGTACCTGCGGGTTCTGTCTGGATCAGCTTGCCGACGTCTCTGGCTCGCAGGCGGCTCATCTCGCTGCTGGTGTAGCGCACGTCGCTTTCCTCGGGCTCCGCCGTTTTGGCCGGTAAAAACTGCTTCATTCCCTTCCACCAGCCTGCGAGTGACACAATATCTGATTAGTTACACATGCACTCAGAGGAACAGCCAAGCATGAAGCCTAACAGGGGGCACAGAGGCCACGTTTTGTAAGATTCAAAGAAAAAAAAGTTCTGTTCAGCTTCCAGGCATCGTTTTTGACCATAAGATGTCCTGATTCTAATTGAGATCATCAAAAGGAGACATACATTGACACCTACTAGATCAGAACCAGCTCGCTAACCTTATACAGACCGATCGCACTCCCGACCTGGAACACTACCTAGGGGAGGCAACGGATTTGGAAACGCAAAGATCTCAGTCCAGTTCCAAGCTGGCACACATTGTAGAAGCATTTTTGTCTGGTTTGCATATTTGGCTTGCAAATGCAATAGTCTCATACCATTAGAATTTTATCTTAGCTTCTTAACCAACAGATATTTTGTCTGAACGCTATATAGTAATAAATCTCAGCTACGTGGTACTACATAAGTAATGCAGCGGCAATGCTCTGTGCACACAGCTTTGAGTGACTCACTGATCAGCTTATCCAAATGTACAGGAAGCAAATGACAAAGAGACTCTCGCCGATTACTCAGCAAAAATATCTTCAGAGCCAAAAAGGAGCCATAATAATCCTTGCATTTGATATAGCGCTGTGGAAAGTGTGGGAATGTTGTTCATCTTTGGGCAATGTTGTTCATCTTTGGGCAATCGCAAAAGTTACAGAATAAGCAAAGGCAATGAGACAAAACATGTTTTCGCATTTGGTGTAAGCTCAGCTTTGTTTTGGTTTGCAACTATCAATGTATATGTTATTGTGCTAAGGAACCCGGGACCCATATCTCTTTTTCTGAAAGAAACAGACATCCAATTATGGGAAAATGGAACCTGTATAAAAGTCAGATGTTATTTTTATCTGGTGTGCAGTGTGGGGAGCAGTATCTTGAGAGAGTTGTTGCTACCGCTCTGCACCTCATATATGAAATAAAGCGTTTTTTGGATGTTTACCGCACTGACTCCGTGTTGAGTTTTTCAGGTCTTTAAGAGCAATCGCACATCGCAATTTGGATTTTAACAGCGCCTTATCGCGTCGTCGAGACGTCTCAAAGCACTTCACAGAATATACTGCAAAGTTTAGTGACTGTATATTCTGTGGGCAAAACGAGGCAGCCAATTGCGCACAGCAGTGTCCCACAAACAGTCATGGATTGAGTGAGCACATTATTTTTTTATTATTATTTTCCTGGCTAAGTGCACGGGCAGTCCATTGTAAGCGGCAACTTTCTTCCTCAGATATGTAGTGGGATAGTTAAGGAGTTAAACTGGATAACATATTGTGTACCAATTTGACATGAGATCTGAAGGGGCCCAAGGCCTCATTTACCTGCTCGGTCCCAGTAGGGCAGATTGTAAGTCCCAGCCACAGTCTTCTTTCTGTAATGAAAATACCTTCTGTTAACATTTTTACAGAGCGGACAAAATACAGTGCAGACCATTCACACATCACCATGCACAAGAGGAGACACATGCACAAAATCACAGAGTAATTACATTACGGTCAATTGAACACACATACACACCGCAGGATGGGACGCATATACACACATACACACACACACACATATAACCCTCCCCCGCAACGCCTCCCCCCCCAAAACACACACATCCAATAAAAACACACGCACAACATCCCACCCCCAAAAAACAAGCCTCAAAACAAAAAAACACACACCAAACCCCCCAACCCCAAAAACAAACTCACACAAATCCCATCCCCCAAAAAACATTCCCACAAAAATCAGCCTTCCCCAAAAAGATACATCCAACCCCCCCAAAAAAATCCACATACAAAACACCCATCCACAACCCCCACCCACCCAAAAAACATCTACCACCCAAAAGCACAAAAAAAACACATGTGCACCCAAAAAAAGCCCGCACACATACATTCAAACGTGCACCTAATTAATAAAATGTTTACACAAGGTTTTCACAACTTGTGCAGTAGAAACCTCCATGATAATCCCAGTGGATAATGCATACAATACAAACCTCCCAAACTATTTGTTTTTATTCACATTTTTATATTTGGCCTAATGTGCACCAAGATAATCTGTCAGAAAAAAGCAATCACCAATCATGGCCTATGCTCCCGACACAATTCAATGGCATTGACGATAACACACGTGACATTTATATCTCATTCTTGCCAACAAATTCACCCACTATCGGAGGCAGTCTGTGATGAGGGTAATAATAATATTCCTTGCATTTGATGTAGCGCCTTATCACGTCTTCGAGACGTTTCAAAGCGCTTCACAGAATATACTGCAAAGTGAATAGCCTGTATATTTTGTGGGCGATATGTGGCAGCCAATTGTGCACAGCAGTGTCCCACAAACAGCTGTGGATTGAGTGACCATATTATTATTATTATTATTATCAACATTTCATAAAGGGATTATTACCCTCAAAAAGGAGTTTGGGTAGCTAAACTCTGGCAGATTACAGTAACCAAGTCCCTGCTCCATGACTGCCCAATCACTCACCTGTTTCTCCAGTGCCAGGCACACACGAGGACCAGGATAAGTGTGGTGAGCACCGTGACTAACACAGGCACCAGGACAGCTGCCAACGCCACATCTGAAACCCATTGAAGACAGCTGCAGTTCAGTAAAAGCCAAGTAACAGACGAAGTTTGATTCAGGCAGGAAAACCCCCATCGGGCCAATAGTCTCAGATTTCTGTGTGCGAAACTGAGGGCTTTGTGTTTGTAAATACTGTTTTAAGACCCTAGCGAACTTTTGCAAAAAAAAGTTACAGTCATAACAATTGCCCTGCAGTGCAACTCAGAACCTTCAATAACACAAGCTCCATTTCAACACATCTGCATACATTTCAGACAATTGCATCCACACATGCACACTCTTGTGTTATGTGACAATATTTTATAGGATTATACTGTGAATCTGCCCTTGTGGCTGTAACCTCAATTACTGGAGCACTAAGAGGACATTCTCAGGCTCTCATAAATACGGCATGTACTTCTGCGTGACATTTTGCTCTTTCCCCAAGCTTCTAGAACCGATTCCACACACACAAGCAATTTTATAACATGATCCAAATCTGTCTTGCTCCACGTTTCATTTCTCTTCAGGCTGCTTGTTGGTCAAGCTAAAAGATTTCCCCTCAATAAACCTCACAGTAAAAACTTTTAGCTTGACCAGCAGCCTGAAGAGAAATGAAGCCTCTTAAAAATCAAGCTTGTGCAGAAGATTGGAATTCTGTTTTAAATTGGAAGTTGCTTTTTTTTTTGCACAGGAAAGAAAAGAAAACAAAGAAATGGAGGACTTAACAGCCGCTAAACCAGGACTGAATTTAAGAATCCAAATTAAGACTGGATTTTTAAAAGTTTTCCGAAACTCTGCAGGATTTTTAACTTTCAAAAGACATTGAGGCTCAGACCACATTAGGACAGTGTAACTCTGTTGATTTGCCTTGGGAGAGAAACTGAACAATGCGAGTTCCTCTGGTGGGATGAGCAGAGGGAGGCAACACGAGATGACAGGAATAACAACAAACAACAAATTACATCCGGGTTGTTGGGATCTGGAATGCATTGCCTGAAAGGCTGGTGGAAGCCGATACGATAACAACTTTCGAGAGAAGTAGATAGATATTTGGGAAGGACAAATTTGCAGGGCTATGGGGAGAGCGCGGGGGAGTGGGACTAATTTGGATAGCTCTTTCAAAGAGTCGGCACGGACACGATGGGCCGAATGGCCTCCTTCTGTGCTGTATAATTCTATGATTGACGCTTTCACATTGGGAGGACATCCCAAGACAGTAGTCAGGGTAGAAAGTTTCATTGCATTTATCCCTAGAACTGAGGAGACATCACAGAATATCTGAAATAACATCAATGCTCTGTAGGAGTGTACTCTCTAGCAACCCTGACTCAGCAACGGTTAATAATAATCCTTGCATTTGATATAGTGCCTTATCAAGTCATTGAGATGTCTCAAAGCATTTTGCAGGATATACTATGTATTTTGTGGGTGAAACGTGACAGCCAGTTACACACAGCAATGTCCCTCAAACAGTGAGTGTTGATTCGGTGTCTACCCTGCTCTGTTGTGCTGATCAGACCAGCTGGGATTCTAAACGACCATCGATAATAAAACCAGACTTTTTTGTCAATTTCATCCCTTGGACTCATTTTCGGCTGAGCCACAGCGGGGCCCTCTGCATAAAACCATCAAAAACACTCAATTTTGTTGTCAAGAGCGATTCCATTGGCAGAACGGAATTCAATGCATGCAACTACTATCCACGATTCAATAATAAATTTGAAAGGACGAGCCTTGACAGGTTTTAATTTTAAAACCTTTTAAAAGTAGCCCTGTGTCTGCAGCAAGCGAGGCTGGGTTAAACCAGGTCACCCCAATGACTGATTCCAGGTCCCTATTTCTTCTGGATGCCAGTTCGAGCATAATAATAATCCTTGCATTTGATATAACGTCTTATCATGACTTCGAGACGTCTCAAAGCGCTTCACAGAATATACTGTGAAGTGAATTGACTGTATATTTTGTGGGCAAAACGAGGCAGCCAATCACGCACAGCAGCGTTCCACAAACAGTCATGGACTGACCAATTTATTATTTTTTTTTTTGAAGGAATTAATACCCCTAGGAAAGCAATCCGCCAATCAACTAATGACCGGGTTCCCAGTTACTGCTTAGGTAAACAAGAGATGTATGGAGTAAGGAAACTTGCCCAACGTTTTGCCCTGCCGGGAATCAAACCCAGGTCTCTCGCTGGTGAGGCGAGCGCTCTAAGCTGCAGGACTCCATAACATAATCAGTCTGGGTGCTGTTCTCTGGTCTGCTGATTTGTCTTGAGAGAGACTAAACTCTTGTTTAGTCCCCTAACTTTAGGATGAAGTTCCCCCCAAAGGCAAGTGATACACGTGGTGTGGTATCAAACCATTGGAGAACTTAATCTATAGACACCCGATTCAGACCCTGGACTGCACCAAGAGTGTTCAATATCAAATGCAAGGATTATTATTAATGTCAGCAAGGGAAGCGCGGTTGGCTACAGTTTGAGGTCAATGGCATATGAGCGGGCAGGCAGAAATTTAGTCAGTGTTGCTGGGAGCGGGGTGGGGGGGGGGTGTGTGGGGGGTGGTCAGGCAGGATCGGCCAATGGTCGAGCAGTCTACTGATGCTCATTTCGCACGTCAAAGAGATTTGTTTTTTAAAAAAGATGTCTTTTTTTAAAAAAAGCAGAAGCAGAGGGAAAACTGACTTGAAAGATCACCCACTGAGGTCACCTTGTTGACGATGCATGATTTAGCGACAGTTTAACACAGGGAAGGAGGCTGGCAACAAGGCGGGACTTTTCACGGTCCGACACGCCTCGTATCGTGAGTCGTCTCATTTTATAAAATTAGGCTGAATCGCAACATCTCCTTGCTGTTCTGTCAGGATTGCCGTTCCTACGAGTTCCTCTAAGTCACTTCAGCTCTTACGCCCTTTTAAGTCACTTGTGCTCTTTTACTTTGATTGCTAGCTAATCCCTCCCCCAGAAGCTAAACTGATACGATAGCGGCTGATGAATCAGACCATCAAGACAAGGCTAGTCTTTACCTTTAGTTACATTTGACTTCACTGAGGTGTTCTTGACATCCGGCGTGAACGTGGTTTCAATCAGCGTCAGAGGGATTTCCGTGCTGAGTGGAGGAGGCACAGACTGTGACGGAGCCCGAACTGCAAAACAAATCCTCTCAAATGATCCTTTGATGCATAAGGATATTTATCTGCCAATTCTCTCTTCTACCAAAGGCATTGGATTTGTTTTTTCTCATCCCCCCCGTCCTCTTCATCAGAGAATCTGAACCATATGTATGCCACCTACACATGGAGATTTTCCTGAGCACTCTCTCCCCATTTCTGTCTCCCTCCCTGGAGGGATGCACCCTGGAGACCCCAGAGTGTTCTGGAGTTTAGCCAGCTCAAACCACATACCTTGCCATTAAAACAACTAACTGCCAAGCTCCCAATTGTTCGTCCAACTGGGACAACTCTACCCGTTAGGGTTTTGACTTGCAGGGATAATAGGAGCTGAGTGGGAAGAATCGATGCTCCCCAGTGACTGGGAAGGACAATCGTTTCTACATCTATAGCTTTCTGGGGCAATGCAATCCACGCTCCCAAAGGCCTTTGAGTGAAGGAATGTTTTCCCGAACAACGTCTAACCATTTCAGTTCTCATTTTAAGATTATGCCTTGTTCTGGGATCAGCTCTTTTAGTGCATAGAGCAGTCATTGGAATTATACATGATTTAAATAAAAAAAAACTCTGCATTTCTTCCGTTACATGTGTGATATGGAGCCAGATGCAGCAAACCCTCATCTCCAGTGACCACTTCTGGAATGAACCTCAGACAGACTTCAGACAGCTGGCAGCATGGGCGACCACACTTCGCCAGTTCCATTCTTACCCTCCTGAGGACCACTACAAAGAAAAACCTCACACAAACACTTCAAACAAAGCAAGGAAAACGAGCGCCAGCCAAACTAAATCCTGTCTAGTCTTTCCAAACAGACGGACGTTTCTGTGCGCACAGCTAACTGGATCCAAGATCTGCCTGTATGATTCACGCCTCTGAAACAAGTCCTTCTTCAGTAAAATCACTTGGCGGGTTACTATAGCAACAATAATCCTTGCATTTGATACAGCGTCTTTCATGTCGGGAGAATGTCTCAAAGCGCTTCACACTGTTTACTACAAAATGTAGTGACTGTGTATTTTGTAGCTGAATGCTGCAGCTAATTTGTGCGCAACTATGTCCCAAAAGCAGCACGAAGTGAACAACCAGTTTTAACTGGGCAATTGTTGGCCAGGACACCGGGAGAAACTAGCTTCTCTTTCCGAGTAAAGGATTAGTTATTGGCTAGATTGTGAAACTCTCTCCCTCAATCCCTCCCGCTAGCACCCCCACGCCTTCCCCTTTTCAGACCACGCTTTGAAGAGATTCCTCTTCAACCGTGCTTGGGGTCACTTCCTCCCTCCCCCCTCCCACCCCACCCCCAGCTCGGAGTTTGCTGCCACCTTACCCAAGGAGAGTTGGGCAGGCTGACAGCCCAGGAGCTCCACCTTCAGTGCTGCCTTCTGATGCCACTGCACTGGAATGATGCGGATGTACCGGGCCAGAATAGGTGGGATGAAATTGTTCCGTACCTCCTGGTAATTATTAGCGTTTCCTTGGAATATCTGTGGATATATTACAGAGTGAAATTAACATTATTTTATTTCCCCTCCTTTGTGACATTCGCTGTTCTTTGGTTGGAAAAATTTGAACACGGCAGCCAAGCTGTGCACAACGACGTCCCACAAACAGCCATGACAACGAATGACCCCAATAGTAGTTTATTGACCTACTAGGAGGAACCTTTTCATGCAGAGAGTGGTGAGAATGTGGAGCTCGCTGCCGGAAGCTGTGGTTAAATCAAAAAGCTTCAATGTGTTCGAAAGAAAACTTAATGTATATAACAAGGAAAAGGGGAATAGAGGGGTGAAAGTGAGGGGAATAGAGAGGTGAAAGTGAGGGGAATAGAGTGGTGTAGGTGAGGGGAATAGAGGGGTGTAGGTGAGGGGAATAGAGGGGTGGAGGTGAGGGGAATAGAGGGGCAGACATACTACATATGAAGTATGAAGACCAACAGACAAGTTAGGCTGTCCATTCACATTTTCTAGAAAGAGGTAGATAGATATTTGTTAGGTCAGGGTATTAAAGGATATGGGGCAAAGGGGAATAACTGGACTTGAGTTATAGATCAGCCATGATCTTATAAAACGGTGGCACAGGCTCGAGGGGCTGAATATCCTACTCCTGTTTCTATGTTGCTAAGCCAAGTGGTCTGTTTCTGTGCATTATCACTATGAAAGTCGTCACAAATTAGACCCCAAAAAGAAGTAAAGAAGGAACTGGACTCTGAGAATGCATAAAAGACAGGTGACCGAACCTCATTTTGAATGCACTGACCTTGCCCTGATCACCGTTGGCTTCTCTGTACATCTTCCATTTCTGCTTATCATCCCTGTAGAGGATCCGATATGCCGAGATGTAAAAGGAGTATTCACCCAGCGTGGAACCTGTAGTTATTATACCTGGGGAGCGAAACAGCACATCTGAGGAAGGAGCCTCTGAGTGTGTGGACTTTTTCCCATCTCTCTATTCTATGCGCACATTATATCGAAAAGAATTTAACTCGAGCACAAAAGTTAGCTTGTGCCATCTGGTTTTGCCATCACGTGCCTCTCAGCTTCACTGCCGTTCAAAACAAATTAAAGACCCAGAGAGAGGACTTCGCATTTTGCTTTCTTTGTGAACTTTGCGAATTCCACACAAAAACGAAAGCCACTAAACTTTACAGTATATTTGGGACGAACTCCCAATGCAAAAGGCATTATGTCAAATGTAAGGACTATTTTTCTAGCACCGTATCACATTGAAACATCTGAAAAGCGTTTCACAAGTAATTATTGTCAAGTGAAGTGGCTTTTTAAAAAAAAGTAGACAAATTCTGCCCATGAGGTACCTCAAAGTAGTGAATGACCAATTTTATTTAGGGGCTTGATTGCTGGCCAGGGCAACAGGAGAAACTCCCTTCTCTTTTCATAGTGCCTTGCCTTCATAGTCCTCTAAGGTTCACCTGAACAGGCTGATGTGACCTCTGTTCAGTGTCTCATCTGTAAGACTGCATCTCCAACAATGTACTGTTAACCTGAACTGCACTGGAATGTCAGCCAAGACCTGACACGGGACTTGAACCCATAACCTTCTGACCCAGAAAGGTCTCTTTTCAAATTGTTAAACGTCCTCAGACACTGCCCCACGTGGAGGGCGCTATATAAATACAAGTTGTTGCTACTAATAGGATCTTTAATGTCGCCACATGAAGAAGCTGTCTCTTTTGGGAATAATGACTATTAACCTGAACTCTCACAACACTCCCACCCTCCTTGATAGGATACTAATATCTTATACTAAGACTATTCCTTGTATTGGGTACGGCACCTTATCGTGTCTCAAAGTGCTTCACAGGATATATCACGAAGTGTAGTGACTGCGTGTTTGTAGGCAAAATTTGCACTTTCACAGCGCTCTTCACCTTGGATAAGGTCTCGGAGTTTGCAGGGGTCAGAAATGCTAACAACTGCGCGTTTATACAGCACCTTTCACGTTGGGCGGATTTCTGAAATGGCAGCTTACCAGTTATTCGCTTCTCTTTCTTCAGGTCGATTTGCAGCCACTGGTGTTCGTCAGTGAGACACGCAGCCCAAGGCGAGCCTTGCTGTTTCAGACGAGCCTTTTCTGGGCCCCAGACGTGGAACTGGCCTGACGAATCGTGCCACTGCAGAGCGGAGGAGGCGGTGATCTGCCCGTCCCCAATGATGCCAGACTCCATGCCCAGAGTCCCATAGCAACCTACAGCAGCAGCAGTAGCAACACAATCAGATCATCACACTACACACTGGCTCCAGCGTTTCCACAGGCACTAGACCCATAAACATGCAAGTGATTCATAATAATAATCCTTGCATTTGATACAGTGCCTTATCTTACCCAGACGTCTCAAAGCGCTTCACAGAATATACTGTAAAGTGAATTGACTGTATATTGTGCAGGTGAAATGCAACAGCCAATTGCGCACAGCAGTGTCCCACAAACAGTCGTGGGTTGACTGACCTAATTATTATTGTTTGTTTATTTACTTCAAAGGCATTATTACCCCCCGGAAAGCAATCCGCCAACCTACTGGGTTCCTAATTATTGCCAGGTAAACAGAGAAGTTGAGTAAGGAAAATTGCGTGAGGTTTTGCCCCACCCGGGAATCAAACCCGGATTCTCTCGTTTGTGAGGCGAGTGCACTAGGCTGACTCATGCACAGTTTGAAACAAAAACAGAGAAAAGAAAGAACTTTGTCTCAAATCACTGTTGTGTTTCTCGTAGGCAAATGCCGCAGCAGTTTTTTGCACAGCAACGGCCCACAAATCACCTTGTGGCAAAAGCCCAATTAATCTGGCAGATTGTTGGTGAGGGCACTAGGCTGAAACTCTTAGTGTGCTTTTTTTTTTGGTGTTTTGTGTCACGTCCACCCGATCAATAGGTTTTAACGTTACATCCGACACCAGCAGCAATGCAGCGTCTCCCAGTACCGCTGCACTGGAGCATCAGGCTTGACTGTGAGCTCGAAGTCCCTTCGCTGAGGCGAGAGGGCTACCAACTGAGCCAGGCTGGCACACTGGATATGAGACAAGACCTTGCAAAAATGGGAATGAAAATAATGCAGTAAACCACAACAATGCTGCTGCCATGTTGAGCTCAGCAGCACACAACGCTACATACAGTGGCTCGGTTCATTGGACACTCACCGCTGGTCTTGAATGTAAACAGACTAGCTGACAAGGGTCCACTGTAAAATGAAGGAGAACAGTAATAGTGGGCAGCTCGAGACTGGTCAACTTTATTTACGCCTCCACTTTCTCCCTTGAAAATCCATTCCACACATTTATCGCTCTCTGCGTAAAGTAGTTACATCTTTGTTCACCTTCCCTCTTTTAAAGCTGTCCTTGCCTCTTTGTGACTATATTAAACATCTTGGTAGACATTCGTCTAGTTCTACCCTTTAGGATTGTGAATGCTTTAATAAGAGCGCTCCGAGAGCATCTATTCTTCAGTGGGAACATTCCCTGCTGCTTCACCTCTACTAACTCTGCGTCTGATTCAGAGTTTGAGAGAGAAAAGGAGACAGACAGACAAACAGAGAAACTGGTAGAGAGAGAAAAAAGAGAAAGTCAGAGAGAAGCAGGAAAGAAACAGAAAACACTGTACAAGGTGGAGGGAGAAAAAGGGAAAGAGGAGAGGACTGGTATTTTGTGTGTGGAGGAGTGGAAGAAGACAGAGATAAAGAGGGAAAGAGAATGGTTAGCACTGTGTGGTACTATAGTGGCAATATAAGTCCTGATGCAAGAAAAGTTTGGTTAGTACTGTACATTGCATTGCACTGGATATCCACACTCTTCATATCCACAATGGGGCTGGTCCCAATAAGTATGGATTGGTCTCTACTGTAGATATTTTACCTTCTGAAACTGCTTCTCTTACCCACACCAGATGGCGCTATTGTTGCTTGCAAAACCACTTCAGAACACAATCTCTCTCGTGTAATAAACTGACCTTAATTGTGGTCATAACAATAATAATACTTGCATTTGATATAGCGCCTTATCACGATGTCGAGACAGAATGTAGTGTAAAATGAACTGACTGTATACTTCATTGGTGAAACCCTCAAATCAACCGACAGGTTTAAGCCAGCGCAGCGAGTGTGCTAAATGATTAACAAGGTATAACCCTCGAAATAAAATCGAGTACTTGTGCAAACACTGGATATTCATTGGAGGAGGAAACAATAGGTTAAATGGCCTCCTCCCATGCCATAGATTGCTAAACAGTCATATTAATAATAATAGTTACATTTGATAGAGCACCTTAACAAGTTGTCAAGACCTCTCAAAACGCTATACAGGATTTACTGTGAAATGTGCAATTGTGTGCTTGTAGGCAAATGCAGCAACCAATTTGCGTGCTGTAATGTCCCACAAGCAGCCAATAAGTGACTGAACCAATTTCTATCTGGAGCATTGTTGGCCAGGACACTGGGGAGAAACTCCCTTCTCTTTTCAAATTGCTCCATGGAATCTTTAACGCCCATCTGAACAGGCGCAGACGGGGACTCACTTTAAACGTCTTATCCAACAGCCCACAACCTTGTGACTCAGAGGCAAGAGTGCAAGTAACTGAGCCAGTCCGATCCCTTCTATGGTTATTGGGAAAGCTACACAAAAGATGCCTTTTTAACCAGACTTGAAGCTAATTTGCTACTTTTTTTTCAGAGGGTGAAAACTAAATACAAAACTATTCAGAGTGGGGGTGGGGGGTTAAGTGGAGGGTAATCTGAGCACCTCCTTTAAACCAGTCGATAATTATCGATTAAATCCCTTCTGAACCAAAGGGATTTCAAAGTGATATGTCGCAAATTTACCCTTTTCTCCATAAAAGGACAAAGCACTGCACAGACTATTTACAGGCCAATACAGTCCGACCCCGTTATAAAGCGGTGTTTGGGAATGTTAAAATAACACCCCAAGTTATAATCAGGCATGTCTCAAAGGGCTTCACAGGATTTACTGCAAAGTGTAGTGACTGTATTTTGTAGACAGGCAGCAATACGTCACAAAACAGCCATGAAGTTTACAACCGATTTTATTTGGAGTGGGATTGTTGGCCAAGACATCAGGAGAAACTCCCTTCACTTTTCGAATAGTGCCGTGGGAACCTTTTAACATCTGGACAATGCAGAACATCCACCCCACCCGCCACCCCCTCGTATTGGGAGCATCAGCCAAGAATGAGTTTAAAAGTCCAGAGTTGGGGGCTTGAACCCACAACCCTCCAAACTCAAGAGGCGAGAGTGCTACCAACCCGAGCCATCTCATCCGAAGGACGTTACGTCCGACAATGCAGCAGCGATCATTGCCCCTGAGAGAGTTGGTCTGGACCTGTGTGACTGCGGTATGTACTGCAGGCCCAACGCATTTCACCACAAATCCGCAGTATACCGAGGCTGGCTATAACGGGGGGGGGGGGGTCAGACTGCAGCAGGCGGGTTAAACACATCTTTATCTACTGCCCTCCTGAAATGAACAACACACTTACAGTTTTGAGGAGACATTGTTTGCCAGGGTGCTTACGTATAACGGAATGCCTTTGCTGATGACCACGTTGATTCGGCCGCCCAGATAGTTCGAGACGACGCCAGCGTGAACGGCGGCCTTGCAGAGGAGGGAGGACTGAAAAAGGAAACCCAACATCAGTACTGCTTTTGCACAAATGTCTTACGCTAACTAGAAGAACACGGCATCGTTTTCAGAAGACAACATCACGCCAGTGTCACTTCGGAACAGGAATTGTGGAAGCGGGCTGTTTGATCAGTTGATCTAATCACAGCAGATCTTTTCATTTCACTGCCCCCCCACCATTTCCTTTAATACTCTTCCTTTCCACTCCCCAACCCCTCTGCTCCCTCCGGTTGATGTCCGACTCTGTTACTGTGAAGTGCTCCGAGATATTGCCCTATGCGAAGGGAGGGAGCGGGGGGGTGGGGGAGAGGTGGGGGGCTATATAAATCCAAGTTGTTGTTGTTCTCAGTCAGTCCATAGCCAGGATTTCCCAGTGCTTTAACTGCTGTTCAATTTCGCCCCGTCGTCTGCCTCATGAGAGTAATTACGCCACCTCCTCACAGCAGGGGATTCCTGATCAGGTCCAGGAGAGAACAGAACGGTGAAGGTGCGGCAACGAGGAGAGGCGTTGGAAGAAGGAATATTAATAATCCTTCCGATTGATGCAGACTCTTATCACATCACTGAAGGTTTACAAATATAATTTTGTTATTGTTGACAAAATGCTTCATAGGATTTACGGCAAAGTGTAGTGACTGTATTTGTGAGTGAACACCCAGAAAAGCTTTGAGGGAGTTCCTGTCTAGTCTTCACATCGATTCATTTGGAAGGAATTAAGCAGTCTCCAAATGAATTTGCTGGAGGCACTCCACAACCTCACCGAACCGAGGCATCGTCATATAATGACGTGACTGGTTTGGCATTTGATTAATTAAAAGCTCTGCATGGTCTCGGTATTCATTTCAATCTGCCCGACACGCCCTCTGCCTGGAATGTGTGAAGTAAGCACTGGAGAAGCCAGACTGCGATGACTGGGTGCCCTCCATCTTCACGGTCCCACTGACTCACACTTCCAGATGGCTGCAACCCAGCTGCTTCTCCGTATATTATCAGCTCTGTGGTAAAGGGCCTGATAAACCCCCCTCATCAAGAGAATAAGCTGCAGCTCAAACAGTTGTTCCACTCACCAGCTAACACCACTGCGCTTCCCACAACAACCAACCAGTCCAGCTGCACCTTACATCTAGGGAGGGAGCGAAAATCATCTGGGTCTAGACATTTAAGACTTTTTTTTTCTTTCTCTGTTTCTTCTTTCCCAACCTTGCAAATTTTTAGACAATTCTGAAATTCAGTCTTAATTTATCGAGCCTCTTTTTAGTAACTGCAGAAAAACGCCTTCAAAATTCTTAGGAATCGGCCAAACTTTCTGCGACTCCACTCCAAAGCTCTGAAATACGCTTCCTTTCCTCTATTGCTCCATCTCACCCCCCCCCCCCCCACTTCCAATCTTTCTTTCAATCCAGCATTAAAGCCTACCTCTCGACCGTCCCTATGGTCACTTTCTCGCTCTCTTGCTGCCTGATCCCCTCACTGTAAGGCCCTCAGAGATGTTATCTTATGTGAAAGGTCCTGTAAAACTGCAGGATGGACAGCGCACAATCCACAATCCCGTCACTCTCCGTGGGAGGACATTCCCGCCTGCCCTAGTCTTAACCCCCATCACACTAGTCTTTGCCAGGCTCCACTGGCTCCGAATCACCAAACGGATCGACTTCAAGATCCTCTCACTCCTTTTCAAATCACTTCATTCCCTCGAACCTCCCTACTTCTCTGACCTGCTTACCCCCCACTCCACCACCTGCTGCCTCCGCTCGGCTGCCTCTGGCCTCCTAATTGTCCCTCGTTCCCACCGCTCCACCCTCGTGGCCATGCCTTCAGTCATACACCCCGAAACTCTGGAACTCTCCCCCTCGATCCCTCCCTCTCCACCTTCAAATCCCGCCCAAGACCTTCCTTTTTGATTGTGCTTTCGGTCACCTCCCCACTCCCTTTCCCCTTGGCTTGTTGTTGTTATTGTAAACTAGGTTTGCTTTGCTTTTATTTTCCGATCATGTCCTCCCAGCAATAACCTCTGATCCAGCGAAGGGAGAAAGCCCCTCACTATCTGTCAGTTCCCTTCACAGTCTCAATCTTCCCCCTCAACCTCCTCTGGGGTCTAATTTACAACCCAAAATGGATGGAAAGTGCTCATTTGAGTTTCGAAAACTGATCCTGAAGAAGAAGGGAGTTTCTCCCGGTCTCCTGGCCAACAATCTCTCAGATTAAAATGAGTCAATTCACTTCATGGTTCTGGCTGTGGATCGTTGCTGGCAGCACTATTGCCTCTGAGTCAGAGGATTGTGGGTTTAAGCCCCAATTGGGGTTTTCAGCTCACAGTCCAGGCGGATGTTCCAATGCAATGATAGGGGAGCATTGTGTTTACAGAGGTGCCATCCATCAGGTGAGATATGAAGCCAAAGTTCTGCCTGTCTGTTCAAATGGACATTAAAGATTCCTTGGCATTATTTAAAGAGAGCAGGGAGTTTCTCCTGCTGTGCTAATCGAACAAGAATCCTCAAGATAAATTTGGACCTAGGTTTGCATATAAAGGCCTCCACATTTGCCAACAAAAAAAAATCACTAAACTTGGGGATGATTAGTGTAAAGGGCTGCGAGACATTCCGGGGTACAAGGTGCTACAAATAGAAAGTCTAGGTTTGTTCATTCTTTCTTTTTTTTTTTACTTACATCTCGATAGCCATGAGGGATGGTTCCAGAAATTTCACCAAATGGTGTCAGGCATCCAGCAGGGCAGTACTTGCTGAGAATGGGAAACATGAATCAACATCTCACAGGAAATGCACGAGCTTGTGATAGTCAGTGGACATCTGTGTTTGCGAGCATGTGCTACAATGTCTAAAGCATGCGCGCACAGTTTCTCTCTCTCTCTCTCTCACACACGCGCACACAGAGCTTGCATGGCCTGCTGGCTTCAGTTGAACAGAAGCCACTCAAATGAACCTGCACTACTGACACAATAAGGGTCAAACAGGTTCCTGGAAGTCAAGGTATAGAGTTCACCACAACGCCAACAACCTCACTGTTAAAAGACATTTACAAAGACGTGCAGTTCGGTACATTCTAACCCGTACACGTGTCTCATCAACGATGACGTTAGGTGGTACTTAACCACTGTCGAGCGCTCTGGGACTCTACCCTGCATGAGGGGTGCTGTGTAAATGCAAGTTGTTGTACTTTCTGCAGTACTGCTCAACACCAGCAGGGGCCGTTGGGAAAGTTTAATAATCCGTGCAGTTGATAAAGTTACCCATTTCTTCTTAAAAACAAACCAGACTGACTGGTAGATGTATGGCTCTGATTTTTGCCTATGAAATTTTCGGTGCCGCAGAATTGCAGATGATTTGTGCGCTGTGATCAGGCAGTGATCACTGCGAAGCAGACAGTGCTCACTGGTATGGTACGGAGTGCTGAGCAACTGCCAATCAAAAGCCCCCAAGGCAGAAGCACAAGAAGTTTAGGATGGCAAAGGGCAATTCCAGGACAGACGCCAGGATGTATTATGGATCCAGTGCGTAACTAGAGATTGTGACGTGGTTACCAGGAACGGTGGTCAAGGCCAGGAGGCTGGAATCATTTTAACAAAAAAAGGAACTCAATGCTGTAATGGGAAAACTGTATAGGGTGGAAGGATATGACCAAATGGGCCAAAGAGCCTTCTTGACCCAAACCTTTCCATTCTGATGCGATCGGCTCACTATTGCCCCTGTGTTGAGCAGAAGTTGATTATTATGCAACATCGAACAGCTCCTATTATACATTTATACATGCAGACCACGTACAAATGCAGGCCAAAATACGCAACGTGCAAACCCCGGGTTAATGGACTGTGTCAGGACAGGTTGGTTCTTAAAACAGGCTGCGTAATCCAGAACTTTTGCTCAGTTGTAACTGGAGACTTTCAATCCAAGTTCCACATGCAGCAGATTTCCAGGTTAACCAAAAAGAAAAGAACAAAACTCCACAAGTTCTCCTCACTCCCACCCCCCCAAAAAAAATACCTTACTCCCCCACTCTCCATTGTTTTCACTGCACATTTCTCCTATTCCTGATGATAACCTTACAACTCTTGTCAGTCTCAACCACTCTTCCTGTAACCCTTTTCTAGTCATTAGTTATAATAATCCTTGCCTTTGATATAGCGCCTTATCACATCTTCGAGACGTCTCAAAGCGCTTCACAGTCAATCCACTGTAAAGTGAATTGACTGTTTGTGAAACTCTGCTGTGCGCAATTGCGCACAGCAGAGTTTCACAAACAGTCGTGGATTGAGTGACCAAATTATTTTTTTTTGTAGGAATTATTATGCCCGGAAAAGTGATCCACCAATGACTAACAATCGAGTTCCTACTTACTGCTAGGTAAACAGACGTGTGGAGTAAGGAAAATTGCCTAAGGGGACCTCTCGCTTAGGATTGTTCGAACCACTAAGCTACAGGACTCCTCTGGGGCCATAATATTTCCTGGTGTCTGTCCTGAAATTGCCGTAAACACCACAATAAGGCCCAGGGAAAGGCCTGCACATCTATTTTTTGGGCGCTGAGATTTGAGGAACCAAGTTCCCGAAAGGAATTCCAGATTCTCGGCACCAACTGGCTCCCTGAGGCTTTCCTTACCTGACCTCAGGCTCTGAGAAGTGGCTCCCCTTGTCCAAGCAGGTAATGAAATCTGTGCAGAGGTGAACACAAAAACAAGAGTAATTGTAACATTGGAACGGTAGAAACCAGCCTTCATTGACTATGCAGTTTGTTTTCTTTTTGGAATAACTATACATATCTGAATTCCTACATCCACCTAGTCATAGCCAACAAGACCATTTTGTCATCAAGTTTAGAATTGCACACACACACCACACACAGCTATTAGGATATGGAATATTACTACCAACAACAGTGGTTCAACCAGAAAATCCACAGCGAGCTTTTAAAAGGGAATCAGATTAATAACAATGCTTGCATTTGATAGAACGCCTTTCATGTCAAGAGGACACCTCAAAGCGCTTCAAAGGATGTACTGGAAAGTGTAGTGACGGTGTATTTTGTAGGTGAAGTGGCAGGCAATTTGCGCACAGCAATGTTCCACAAACAGCCATGAAGTGCATTGACTAATTTCATCTGGTGTATTTGTTGGCTAGGGCTCCGGGAGAAACTCTCTTTTCAAATAGTGCCATGGGATCCTTAATGTCCACCTGAAGAGGCAGACGGGATCCCGGTTTAATATCGCATCCTAAGGATGGAAGCTCCAACAATGCCGCATGTCCCCTGGCACTGCGCTCGAGTGTCAGGCTTGACGACGTTCAAAATCCCAACATGGGGTTTGAACCCACAACCTTACTAACACACAGAAGCGAGTGTGCTACCTACTGAGCCAGTGCGACCACACAATCTGACCTTACTGATAACTTGTTCGCCCATGCATTCATCACCTCCCACCTTGACACTTCAAATGCCCTCTTCGCCGGTCTCCCCAGTTCCACCATGCACAGGATCCAGCCGATCCAAAAGCCCACCGCCCGCATACTCACCCACACTAAACCCCGTAACTCGATCACACCAGTTCCAGCCGGGCTCCACTGGCTCCCTATCACCGAACAGGTCGATTCCAAGATCCTCACACTCGTTTCCAAATCCCTTCATGCCCGAGCACCTCCCTAACTCTCAGACCTGCTTAATCCCCAACTCACAACCCGCTGTTTCTCTACTGGCTCTGGCCTCCTGCATGTCCTCGGGCCCTCCATTCCACCATTGGTGGCAGCAATTTCAACCTACTCTGCACTATTCCCCAAAACTCTGGAACACTTTTCCTCTATAACTCCACCTTGCCCCTTCCTTCCTCATCTTCATGTCGCGCCTGAAGACCGTCCTCTTCGACCGTGCCTATGGTCACCTCCCCCTCCTCCTGGCTCAGAGTCGTGCTCTGCCACTGTCAAGTGCTCTGGGATGCTTCCCTGGGTGCCGGGCGCTATATAAATGCGAGTTCTTGTTGATAACAGGGGAGAGGAATGTGACTAAGTTTGGAATACAGAGAATGCACCTCCCTGACACAACACCAGCCAGCTCATTACAGCATCGCTGAGCCTGTAACACTTAAAATAACCCATTACATACGTCAAGCTTTGAAGCAAGGAACAGTAAATTAATAGCTTTTAAGAGAGAAGCAGATAATTATTTGGAGAGGACAAGTTTGCAGGGCTATGGGGAGAGAGCGTGGGAGTGTGACTGATTTGGATAGCTCTTTTCAAAGAGCTGGCACAGACACGATGGGCTGAATGGCCTCCTTCTGTGCTGTATAATTCTATGATTCAGCAGATCCCAACACACTTTAATGTCTGGACTGTGAGCTGAAGCTCCCAAGTACTGGGGGGGAGAAGTGCTACATTGTCAGTGATGCCATTCTGTTCAGGTGAGGATTGAGCCCAGTTCACAGGCAAATATTGAGGATCTCACGACGCTGTTCGAAACAATGTTGACCTGAACACTGAGCCTGGTGTGGCCTTAATGGGGCTCATTCGGGTATCACAGCAACAACTTGCATTTATTCAGCACCCTTTACGCGGGGTAACGTCCCAGAGCGCTTGACAGTGATGGAGTCTGACTCCAGGTCAGGGAGAGAGGGAGTGGGGAGGTGATCGTAAGCACGATCAAAAAGGTCGTCTTGAAGCGAGATTTGAAAGTGGGGAGGGAGGGGTTAGGGCGGAGGGTTTGAGGGAAGGAGTTCCAGTACTTCGGGTGTAGTGGCTCAAAGCACAGCCGCCAATGGTGGAGCGGAGGGGGCAAGGGGCGAATAGGTAATGTAGAGGCTCGATACTTGCCAGAGGGAGGAACGGCAATTGGAAGACAAGTGACCTGGGCATCTTAAAGTAGCAGATACTTTGGAGTGGTGCAGGCCTTCAGTAGTGTTTGTTGAATGCAGTGTAATAAACCATGCCATTAATAATAGCGCTTTATCATGCCACCAAAACATCTCAAAGTGCTTCACAGGCTTTTACTATAAAGGTAGTGACTGCGTATTTTCTAGGCAGCCAACTTGCACACAGCAATGTCCCACAAACAGCCATGAAGTGAACGATCAATTTTATTTGGGGATTCGAGTAGTGTCATGAGATCTTTAACGTCCACCTGAACAGGCAAGAGGGGCTCCTTTTAATGTTTCATCTGAAGGATGGCACCTCTGTCAATAAAGCACACCTGTAGTACTGCACTGGAATGTCAGTCTCATGAATGAACTGAAAGTCCTGACATGAGGCTTGAACCCACGACCTTCTGACTCAAGAGGTGATTAATGCTCCAACTGAGCCTGACTGACACCAGAAAACGTGGAGTCTTCAAACACTAAACAAGTGGGAACTCACCAAAAAATTACTCAGTCTCTACACTTCACAGTACGTCTTGTGAGGCTTCGAGATGGCTTCCCGACGTGAAAGGCACTGTTCCAAATCAAGGTTATTTAAGTGACCTGATCTGATTGCTTGGTAATTTTAAGCTAAATATCCTCTTTTTACAGTCCCCTGTGCATGTGTATGTGGTGTGTGTGTGTGTGGTGAGTGGAGGGGGGAGTTGCGGGGACTAATCGACAGACGGATGGGGAAGGGAGGGGTGATCGTTTTCAGCCCCCAGTAAAGTTTGTCTGTAAAGTGGTGCTCTCTGCAGAGTTCTGTTCTTACAAAAGGAGGGGAGAGTACGTCTGTTTTCACTCTGCTTCAGAAGCAGAACGCACCGAAAGGAGGGCCAGACATTGTTCTTCTGCGGTTCTCAGCAGCCCGAGAAAGAAGACAGCCTTTATTATACCAGGGAATCTGCTGGCTCCTGGCCCAGCCCAGAAGTCACCAGGGTATGTAGTCAGCCTGCCAAAATCCAAAGGGGGTGTGTCTTTGTCAGGATATCGAGATTTGCCATCACTGAGGAGAATTTACATACCTTAATAGGAACAATCTGTCTCTCTATGTTTGTGTTAATAAAACCTCAACATTTCCACTAGCAGATGAGCAGCAGCCAGGATCCCATTCCATCCTCCGGTTGCACCAGAGCTCTGCTGGCTCTGCTTACTTTCACTGAACTTGCAAGGTGACAAGATCGGGTCAGATGAAGAAGGCCCCTTCGACCCATCTGCTCTCGTCCCTTCCAGAACACCAGCCTCACATTCCTCCCACCGCAACATCGCAATATTTTTTTTTAAATGAACCTCAGCGTCCTGGCCTCGGCCACCACTTCCTGATCACCGTGTCCCAGTCATCAATTACCCTGTGTGAAAAGTAATACTTTGCCCAAAAAATATACAAGTCAATTCACTTTACAGTATATTCTTTGAAGCGTTTTGAGGGGTTTCGAAGACGTGATAAAGCACGACATCAAATGCAAGGATTATTATTATTATTGGTGTCCGTCCTGAAATTGCCCTTTGCACTTGTAAAGTGAACTTGTACCTTCTTGCTCTGCTGTCTTGGCATATTTGAAAGTAAATGAAAAGTGAATGACCCGCTCTCTTGCTCTACAATGCTCGAGGTCGGGGAAACAAATGGAGGAAAGTGGTAAAAGCAAAATAATGAGTTGCTACTTTGCGTGGCATTGTCCAGCTAGGACCATCCTACACATTTGGACTCTGGCTCATATTGATGAGGACAGAGATTTAAAGTCATTACGAAAAGAACGAAGGGAGAGGCTGCGAGAAGTGTATTATCCATGGAGAGGCGTTAGGACGTGGAATGTCCCACCTGGAACTGTGGTTGAGGCAGAATCCGAAACAAAGTTTTAAGAGGGAATTGGATAAATGTCTGAAAAGGTGAATATATAAAAGGGTATGGGAGGGGGGAGAAAGGCAGGAGAATGGGACCGCATGGGTAGCTCTTTCAATTTGTTTCACGTGTGCGATAGGTCGATTGGCCTTCTCTGCTGTATATTTCTATTGTTCTAGGGGACATATCAAGGCTTCCCAGTTCATCATAAGGATTTTTAAGACATTTGAGAGTGATCGGTACTACAAGATTTATGTAGCGCCCTTCCCAAGGGATAGAGTCTTGGAGCACTTAATAGTGGCGGAGATTGACCCTGGGAGGGGGGGTGTGGGGCATTAACACAGTTGAAAAGGATGGTCTTCAGGCGTGATCTGAAAATGCGGAAGGAGGGGTCAAGGCGGAGGGATTGAGGGAGAGAGTTCCAAAGTTCCGAGGCGTAGTGGCTGAAAGCACGGCCACTGATGGTGGAGCGGAGGGGACAAGGGACGAGCAGGAGGCCGGAGCCAGTCGAGCGGAGGAGGCAGGTGGTGGAGTGGGAAATAAGCAGGTCAGAGACACAGGGCGGTGCTAGGACAGGAAGGGATCCACGAGAGGCGAGTCGTTGGGTTAAGGCTTCCTTTCTGAAGAAAAATATTTTTTACACTTGATGCTTGTTTTGTTCATTTTGAAGAGACTGAGCTGATAACGGGTTTGAACTTCAACTCGTCTAGTCTTTAGTCTAACTTCCAGTCTAACTAAATTTTTAAACGTGCCTGCAACTTTCCACATCTTTACCTGAGTGTCAGCCTGGCTCAGAAAGTTAGCATTCTCCCTTCTGCGGCAGAAGATCGAGGGTTCAAGCCCCAAATTGGGACTTTGAGCTCGCAGTCTAGGCTGACAGTCTAGTGTGTTGCTTGGAGATCGCAGCATTGTCAGAGGTCTGATCCTTCAGATGAGACATTAAACCAATGTGCCGTAGGCCTGTTCTTTAGATGGTCGTTACAGATCCAATGATACTATGAGAAGGGACGTTCTCTCAATGTGAAAGGTGCTATGTAAGTGTAATTCTGTCTGTGTGTCTCTTTCTCTCTCTATTATCTCTATCGCCCATCTATAAAAGGTTCTGTGATAATGAAAAACACTGGCTTTTCCTGGAAATCTAAATAGTTTCAGTTGCATGCTGAAAACAATGTTTAGGAAGAAAAAGAGAGAGCGAGAGAGAGGAATGTTTTTTTTCCTCAGTCGGTCGGACTTCAGATTGAGAAAGATTCCCCCTTCCGTGTCTTGCTCAACCCGAGGAATCCGGTGATGTTTGTGCTTCTGGTAGACAGATGGCTGGATAGTGGGCGAGAAGCGAAAAGTGGAGGGAGGCAGAAACATGAGCTGTTGTCAGAAACTTGGCATCCCCGAGTAGGGATTTGAATCCACAGTTTTTCATACTAAGGCCTTGAGTTTTTTTTTAATTGAATAGCAGCTCTTTCATTTGTGAAGAAAACCGTCTGCTTAAAATGTTCGTGTGGTCAGAATGAGGCCACATTCCCTGATCAGCTTCTGTAACAGAATTGGTGCTCAAGCTAATCACTGTAATGTGGCTGCTTTTTAATGTACCAATAGCAAAGCCTTGGGTGTTACAGTTCCTCCGCCTCACCCCCCTCCCTTTCCTCCTTCAAGACCTGTCTCAAGACCCCCCTCTTCGACCGTGCCTTCGATCACCCTCCCCACCCTCCACCCCTCCTGATCCCAACCACCAGCTCGGGTACGGATCCCTGACTGTGTCAGGGCCTTGGGACGTCATTCCGACGTGAAAGGCGTTATATGAATGTAATATCATATTGTATCCCAACCCCTAGGTGCTGGGTTTTCATCTTGTGGTTTATGTGGTTTGTAACAATAATAATATTTTGTATTCAGTACAGAGCCTTATCATGTCATCGAAACGTCTCAAAGCACTTCACAGGATTTTGTTGTCGAGTGTAGTGGTTCTCAGTCGCTGGTTTCATGTCAAATGACTGTATTTTGTAGGCGAACACAGCAGCCAATCTGCGCACAGCAATGTCCCACAAACAGCCATGAATGAAGAGAATGACCAATTTTATTTGAGTGGGGGGGACTGTCGA